GTTAAAAGTGCTGGCAACCGAGGTTTTTAAAATATGGAGTGATGAATCAAATTTAAATTTTTTCTTAAATTACTCAGAGCCGGATATAATGATTTTGATGTCTGACAAATATACTACCCACAGACAAAGCATAAGATGTAAAGGGAACGAATCCTGTCCTTTTGCTTTTGACGGAAGGGGTAACATATTAGGACATGCATTTTTTCCAAATCAACAACAAGAGTGCGTGGAAGTTCATTTGGATAAATCCGAAGATTGGTACTACGGTTTAGAAGTGCCTGCGCCCGGAGGAAAAACGAGCTTGTTTACTGTGTTGTTCCACGAAATTGGACATACGTTGGGTTTGGCGCACAGTAACGATCGCAATGCCATTATGTACCCTTGGTATAGCTTAAATTCTAAGACATTGTCATACGACGATGTTGCAGGTCTTCAACGTTTATATGGTAAAAAAACCACAACCACCGCCCGCGTAACAACTCCGACCACAACAACATCAACTACCACTACTACCACAACTACGAAACCTCCGATAGGGAAAAACGAAACAAAAGTACCAGATTTGTGTCACGTAAATCCATCCATATTTTTGGTTACGTCTAACCATCATATGTATCTATTTTACGACAAATGGGTTTGGATAATAAGATTAGGTGATAAAGTCTACATGGAACCTAAAATGATATCAGATTATGTCCCTATTTACGCTCCTATTTCGCATATCTACCAGAGACCCAACGGACAACTTTTGGTAGTCACCGGTGATTCGTTTTATTTACTTCACTTCCCGAGTTTCACGGTAGTGGGCGACCGACAAAGCGTCCAGCGACTGGGTGTGCCTGCGGGTAAAACAGTGAACGCTATTTTTAATACGTATGGCGGTCGAACGTATATATTTTACGGTAAACGCTACTATGCAGAAATAGACGAGTGTTCTTTGAGTGCGAGTGAACACGGTTTTACTACGGAACTGTTTCCGGGTCTGCCCGACGATTTGTCGGGCGCGTTTCGATACACCAACGGACATTTGTATTTTTTCAAAGAGAAAACGTATTACGAATACAACGAATTTTTGAATAAATTAACGAGAGTCGGTGAAATAGACTTGAGTCTTGTCGCAATTAATTGTCCCACAGAGAGTGTCTTTAAACAAATTAGGGATTTGTTAAGAAAGTTATCGATCTTTCACAACAATGAATAAGAAGTTAGTTTTCTTCGACGATTTTAGAAGCTTGGATACCGATCAACTTGAATTGATTCCTGTGCAACATTTCTTGGAGCATGTGAGACCGCACGATTTGTTAAATATGTGGCATAAGTTACCAGTACGACATCGCAACAATTTTGAATTGCAAACTCATTTGCCCTGCTTTGTTCACTATAACAGACCGGACAGCAAAATGCATATCGACGGCCCGGCACCTCCCCAGAATAAATGTCATTATTGTTTGAGTGTTATAAAAGCAGTTACCGAGATCTAGGATAGATTCATTCGGGCTAGAAACATGGTTTTGTTAAGTGCTCACTTTGTTTTGTTGTCGGCTGTGGTACAAAACGTTTTCTATATACATAAACCTAAGGATGTGATTGAAGCGTTCGTTTGTTTCAAAAATCATAATAATCGGTGCATTTGGCCCGATACGTGGACGCGTATGCAACTCGCTCAGGTCAACGGAATCGACAAGCTACAAACTTTTAGCGTGACATTGTCGAATAACACTACCGCAGATAAGCCGTATTTAAATTACAAGGTACGTTTCGTTTTCGCGAACCGGAGCTACGAAGACCACGGCGAATGGCAAACGATCGCTATCAAGAATTCCAATAACACCAGCGGCGGCGTTAACGACAATTGCGGTAACGAATACAACATCTCGGCAGATCGAAAAACTATTTTAATCCCGCTATATGTAACTACGTGCGCTTGTTTGCTTCTTTTGGCAAAATGCTTATTCAAATTGACTAAATGTAAATATCTCTCTTAATTACACCGATAGTGGGGGGTTGTTGATATATAAGTACATTTGAATTTGATACCGAAGTCAGTCTGTTTGTCACAATGTGTAACAAAGTGGTCACTATCGATGAAAACACGATTTTCGAAATAAAGAATTCAGGTGTCCGTTTCATCTTCAAGAACAAGCACATAGATTTTCAAGTCCAGGATTTTTGGGATTTTTTGTTCTTTCTGGAGGACGAGGTGGGAGAAATCATGTTCTGGAACGACATAACAGTCTACATCGGGAGCAGTATCGAGGTGACCTATTCGAACGAAGAAGAGAGCTGTGAGTTGATACTGAAACGGGATCATGGCGACGAAATTATCCTCGACCGCGATGAAGTAGAAAATCTCATGGACCAGAAACACCGCTTGTACGAAGCATTACGTTGTCTACATATGAGCTAATAAATATTTACTATTGTATCTATAGTTTTTCTTTTATTAAACCGTGATTATTGAGACACTCTGTATAAGTCACTCGACTTGTTTACCGACGACTCGATCCCCCGCGTCACCGCGCCACACCGTCTCCGCGCCGCACCGTCACCGCCCTCTACCGGGGGGGCCTACGACGGTCGGAGCGCGCGACATCTAGCAGCGACGGGCGGAACCGGGGCAAAACAGGACACTACACAAGCTGGGTGGGGGGCGGAGCGCACTCTGGTAGACAGGGGGGACACTAGGACGCCACGCGCGGGGGGCCCCCGCTGCGGGGGGGTTAGGAAATTGAGGTTATGTACGGTTTCTGTTGCTTATATCGGCACTATACATCTACTGAAATAGTATTAATTTTTTTTTTAATTAAAATATAAATAAAGTGCTGTTATTCGTTACAAGCTACTGTAGTATTTTCAGTGTACCGCATTACTTTAAACCGCCATGACAGTACTTTAGTACGTACTAGGACACAAATAATAGATGGCACTCGTAACAGTATACGCTACCTTCCCCTCTATTTTATACTCATTGGTTTCCACTTTATTGTTTTACGGAAAGCATGCGCTAGTACGATTTTTTGAGCTTATGGTTAAAATGGCGGATCGGCGCAAGTCTTTACGGTAAAAGAAAAGATAGAGATTATCGGAAGTATTGAGAGTGGCATCGGTAAGGCGGAAATTGCTAGACAAAAGAAATTGGCTATAACAACAATATCTACAATTTGGAGTAATCGTGAAAAGATCACGAAAGCAAGCGACTGTAAATCGCAAAGGATTCAGATGTAGATAAAGCTCGTTTGCGATGGTTTCAAGTTCGAAGTTCCGAAAATATTGTAATAGGTGGCCCAGTTCTGAAATCGAAAGCCGAAGAATTAGCCAGGGAATTACAGGGTGAGGATTTTAGTTGTTCTACAAGTTGGCTCGAGCGTTTTAAAGTTCATGACAACATAAACGTCGGAAAAATTTCTGGTGAAGCAGATGTTACCAAACAAGCTGTGCTGAATTGGTTACAGGATAAATGGCCCAGTATTGCACAAAATTGCAGCTCTGGGGATAGTTTCAGTGATGACGAGACTGGGCTATTTTACAAGATGACTCCAGATTGTACCCTTAAAATTAGAGGAGAAAGGTGTTTGGGTAGGAAGCAGTCGAAGTTAAGGGACACCAATAGAGTTTGTGCAAATATGACAGGAAGCGAAAAATGCAAACTTCTTGTTATTGGTAAATATGAACAACCGAGTTGCATGAAAAATGTGAAAAATCTCTCTGTTCTTTATAAGTCAACCCAAGGAGCGTGGATGACTTCATTAATTTTTTATAATTTATAAATATTGCTTTGGTTGACAATTGTGCAGCTCATCCAAAAAATATAATCCTTTCAAATATCAGATTAGAGTTTTTGCCTCTAAATAGCACCTTAGTCCAACCAATGGATGAGGGCATAATAAAATGCTTTAAGACATATTACCGCAGATATTTATTGTATTGTTTTGATAATAAGGAACCTTTCAACGTCGCTATCCTAGGCTCTATGAAATTACTTGCACAATGTTGGAATGATGTTACTTCAACCACTATTTCAAACTGCTTTCGACATGCAGATCTGATAAAGAGGAAGATGGAAGATGAATTTAATTCAGATGATGACTTACCTCTGATTCAGTGGTTTGAGAAGTACAAAAATAATGACCACGACTGGGAGGTTGCCCAGTGGTCGCCAACCTCTTCATTGTGTTGAACTACTTTATTAATTTTGGAATGAACAGTGAGCTATCCCCAAGGAATATTATAACAATTAGATTTTTTTGTGGAATTTTGAAGCTTCTCCGATTTTTGCAGTTTGTATTTTTAAAATTAAAATCGTTGTGAGAGCTACCAGAATTGTAATTCGTTGCGCAGTAACGGCAAAGATCGAACCAACATTGAAATGTATTTTTCTGAGCTGGATAGCTTCCCAACAGTTGATGATAATTTAATAACAATGGAGTTATTAACGGATAATGCTTTATTATTACTGAAATTTTACAGGAAAAAGATCCACAAAACTCTGGTAACAAGAGCGACCATGATGTTCAACAAATTTTTTACTATCTACTGATAATGTAACTGATGATGTTATGCAAGCGTCCTGGAAGGTTGAAAAGCACATCGAGAATATGAAATTTGTTTTGAGAAAAAATAAACAAAAATAACGAATTTTTTTTACACAAAAAGAATAAAATATGTATTTTTACTTGTATGTTGTAAAGTTTATATAGAGAGATAAGTTTCTTAGTTTAGTGTGTTTCGTTTTTTAGTACCTATATTAGTGTTTTAATTTTTTTTATAGCGTACTTCCGCTTATAGAGTACTCATTTTCTGGTCCCTAGGGGGTACTTTATAACCGGAGGTCACTGTAGATTGTTTGTTATATGATCCTAACATAGATGGAATATTGCAGATATTACTGCATTTTGACTAAGATCGGTCAATTGATATTCATTGTCGCGCATTATTTGTCATGATTAACTTTGAGTTAATTGCTCTCTATTCCAGCCAACTCTAGATCGGGTTTTTTCCAGAATCAGACGGCCATAGAGTTGCGAAATCTGGCCAACAACAATGTCCGGCATCAGCAGCACCCAACTAGCCAGAACGAGTTCCAGGATAACAATTTTGCATGCGAAACGCGAGAAAGAAAACGGAAAAACTCGAAAAATCTCAGTCGGTCAGCGGACAGCGATTCTGGGAGTAACTATGTTTGATTAAAATATTGTGATAAAGAACTTATTTTTCTGTATAATAATGACGATCACAAAGTCACAATTTGTGTAAACTTTTTGTAGGTAGTTGGTACTTAATTTTTGATGTTCAATGAAAGAAAAAACCGAAACATTTTTCTACTATTGTGCCACTATTTTCTTTAAAAAAATCGAACTTATTATTATGGCCCAGGATATCCACAATTTTTTAATAATGTCAATGTAATTTAACAGTATTAAAAGACTAATTAAAAATGTATGTCAAATCGAATTTTGAACTCCGGGTAAATTTTATAATTTATATATGCTCCTAAATGACTTGAAAAACTGTGATATTTTGTATGGTATTCTTTTCGAAGGTAATCGGCAGCTTATCTGTTAAGTCGGAGTATAATCTTCAATCTGCTGTAGATACTGAGTAATTTAAGCTTGTAAATATAATTATATTCCTCCTAGTGAAGCCCGTTAGATTTTTGTAAGCCCTAATGTAAACTATTTATAATTTTTTGCTTGCCACACACGACGCCAATTCTAACGAAATTACATGACACATATCCCAAGTGCCTCCATTAGACGAACAAATGTCACTAGCCTTAAGCAATTCGACAATTAATTTATTAAGTGCTTTCGTTTGTTTTACTTCGACGAGAATAAAGTTTTATATAAAAAAAGTTTGTTTTACTCTGCCTACCAAAAATCATGGTACCTATACTGTGACGCCAGTTAACTCATTTGGAAAGATCACCACTCATATAAGCCTGTGAATTAAGTTAATGTAATGTGAGGTTCCTGGAAAAGGTTTGGTATACAACCAAAGCGCTGAAAGGACACTAAAAATAAAAAATAGGTATTAGTTTACTTAAGCAAATTTTTGAGTAGGTCAGAATTTCCAAAAAATTACAGAATATTATTGTTTAAAGAATGTTCTATATATGGTTTTTTCTCGCACTTCATCACTTTGCTAGTAAAATCTGTAAACCTCTCTATTCTCTGTTTTTTTTTTCTACTTAAATTTGGCTTAATTTAATTTTAATGGGAAACCAAAGAGTATAAGATAAGTATACTGTTACGGATGCCATCTATTATTTGTGTCCAAGTACTAAAGTACTGTCATGGCGGCTTAAAGTAATGCGTCACACTGAAAAATACCACAGTAGCTTGTAACGGATAACAGTACTTTATTTTTATTATCATAAAAAAAAATTATCTTTTACCTTTTTTTTACTTTTAAAACTTTAAATTGAATTGAACCGTAAGTAAGCGTTTTCCGTTTTCATGACTGGACACAATCACTAGCGAAGTTGAATCTCGTGTACACTTTTTAACATTGCCACTAATGGGAGCCTTCCCCTCTACCTTATACTCTTTGTGGGAAACTTAGAACTCTTCCACAGAATGTGAACATTCATATTCTCGTAGAGTCCAACACAATCCAGAAAAGCCCAGTGACGTCAGATACGCAGAAGACGAATTTGAAACGGCTGTCGTTCGAAAATGTGGCCGCCATTGGCGTGGATCAATCAAATCGTTCCGGTTTACATTTTGTGGGTGCTTATATTTCGTTCATTTTTATAAATCATTATTGTCGTTTTTTTAATGAAATAATATTATTTCCATCCCATCCGACTTTTGAAAAGTTTCAGGAGATATTGACGATTTGATTTATTTTTCACAATGTATTTGTTTTTCATAAAAATCTGGTGAAAGCGCCAGGCATTGAACAATAAAATACATGTATCCTGATCCCAGATCACAGTTTTGTGAAACTGTATCGTCAGATATTGTGTAATGATAAAGCCAGGTTTTGTTGAAATGATACAATAAACAAACCAAATTGTAGGTATTGTAAAATAATCCCCGACCGATCAGGGAAAATAATAAACGTAGGCCTTATTTCTTCGACCAAAATTTTACTGGAACTCGGTATTTACAATTTCATCCAAATAACTTAATTCCTACCCTCGCATATTCTTTACCAAATCCAACAGGATGGTGCTCCACCCCCTTTTTCCTTGACAAGCGCATAAATATTTGAATACAGGATTTCCCTTCCAGTAGATTATCAGAGGAGTATCAATAGATCTGTATATATATATATATATATATATATATATATATATATATATATATATATATATATATATATATATATATATATATATATATATATATATATATATATATATATATATATATATATATATATATATATATATATATATATATATATATATATATATACATATAATTCGCCTTATTTCGTATTTAATTCCAATTTTTAAATGATCTAAATTTTGTGGTTTTTCCTTATATACTCTTGGTTTTAAACATTCCCATTGGAAAAAAATCCAGCGGAATAATATATGGAGATCTATTGATACTCCTCTGATAATCTACTGGAAGGGAAATCCTGTATTGAAATATTTATGCGCTTGTCAAGGAAAAAGGGGTGGAGCACCATCCTGTTGGATTTGGTAAAGAATATATATATATATATATATATATATATATATATATATATATATATATATATATATATATATATATATATTTTTTATTCTTTCAATCATAAAAGCGTGAAATGACACAGAATTCGAAGAGCGATTAAAAAAACTAAAGGTATAGACATCTAATTTTTGACTGTATATTTCCTATTAACTGCAAAAATTAGAAAGACAGTATTTTTTTTTTAATGAACTTGTTCCATATCATAAATATGGTTCTTCTTCTTTTACTTCTATTGGCCACATTTTTTTGTCATAAAATAAAAGTTGAAAAAGCTAGACTATTCCCAACATGTGTTTCTCAAACAATCGATGCCTCGTTTTGAAAATTTTTTGTAAACTTAAATAACATTTGTTTCAATGACAAAAACAGCGTAGACAAAATTAGTTCTATATTAACAATAAAACTTGTCAAACGAATTGTGATAATTAGGTCAACAAAAACGTGCTTCAAGACAACAGTTATAAATTTAAACCCAAAACTTAATAAATAAGTCTTACTGCTTCTTGAAGCTCTTTAATATTGGATATATATTATCGAAAGCTTCATATATTTCCTGTCGAACTTTGGCTCCTGTCAGTACCACTTTACCAGACACAAAAATTAGCAATACTATTCTTGGTTTGACCATACGGTAAATAAGGCCGGGAAAGAGTTCGGGCTCGTAAGAACTGAATGAGCTGTGGGTGAGCACTAGTCCTTCTAGTCGAATGGGGAACTTCACATCGCAACTCCCCACCATATTCTAAAAAGGTTAACATTATGTTTTTACAGTCACAATGTATTATATTCAAACCTGAATTTTGAAATCTAAGAACTTTGCGGGAAACCCCAGTTTCTGTATAATTCTTGCGTATTTACGGGCTGCCAGTCGGGAATCTTCTTCACTTTTGGCGCCCGTACACACCATCTTTCCAGAAGAAAATATCAAAGCAGTGGTCCGGGGTTCTCTTATTCTCATAATGACGGCAGCAAAACGTTTGGGGTTGTATTCGGCATTTCTTGCATGTAGAGCAATTTTTTTTAAGTCCAACTTGCAGTTTAAGTTCACCGTCGATACAATATTTCTAAAAATAAAAAGGCTAATAGTTATGGCAATTATATTAATTTGTGGAAAATACTAACTGGAGTTGTGGAACTATGCCCGGATCAGCTGAGTGTGGTGTCATCGGAGTCATGGGGGAAGGAGTTGCCGGACCAGTATGCGGAGTGGTTCCGGAGGCTCCGCCTGCTGTCCCTCCTAAATTTACCATTGGCGACATCATTGCATGTTGCTAAAATTGGTTAATAAACAATAAACCTAACAATTTCAAGACAATCACCTAGTACATGCTACACCTACCGGAGTTTGTGGTGTCATACCACTACCACTGACATTGCTCATGGGTAAAGCAAATCCGGTAACATACTTTGTGTGGGGCAATGTCATAGCATTGCCCATACCTAAACCAAGAGTTGGCGTTAAACCTCCCATGGGCGCCAACGGAGGTACTTGGCTTGTTGGAGGTTGGGATTGTTGTTGCTGTTGTAAGGCATTGGGAAGGATCTGTTGATCTTCTTCAGGTTGATGCAATGGAGTTCCTAAAACAATATACTGCATATGCATATTTCGGTATGCATATTTCCAATATTACCTATGCTGGGTATACTAAACCCAGGGCTAGGAAGCATCTGATCCATTCTGAATAATATTTTGTCCTTACTCTATTATTACTTATGTCATTATCACATAAAAACGACACATATACATAAACTGTTTCAGTAAACAATAAAATATATCAGTGTCACACGTAATTAAGCAAACTTTTCTATTAAGCCTGCTCCTTAAAGCTTCCAACCAACACCAAACAACTATTAAATGGCTAGTTTTGAAATTGTTTGTTTTCTTCCTTTTATTTGAAAGCTATGGAAATAAAACCGACTCACTTAATTGTACACTATTTTAGGTATTATGGTAAGACCAAAAAAAAAAGATAAATCAAAATGTGAAAATGGTAAATCTTCCAATTGAACTTGGAAGTGCCGTGTCCTAACTAAGTTTTAATTAAATCTTTTGTAAGAGTACATCAAAATAATTGGATACATTATACACGCATCTGCTTTAATAGTGTATATAGAATATGCAATTTCGAGATTTCCATTAGGTACGCATTTTTGAATATTAATTACTTTATATTTCATATATATTTAGGCTTTGCCATATAGATATTAGATAGTGTAGCGATTTCCACTCACACAACTTGTTTTTCTAAAACATTTAACCAGGTTTAGACACATTTTGCAAAAAAAATGCGGTAAAAATGCCGTCTCGAAAGTTACTACTGGTCTATCAGCGGCCATGTTGGTCATTTAATGCCGCATGGTCCTTGGTTATAAAATGAGACTTAGTGCAGTGAAGCGCATCAATTTTTACCGATGTAGGGCGAGCCACAATATTATCCATGTATGATAGTTACCAATATTGAGGTTCAGAGAAATTTGTCAGATTTGTCAAACTAAACTGGCCCACTTTTTACCTAATCAAAGTTAATTCTATTTAAAGAACGCTTGAGTTCACTGTGTCCGTGCGCCTTGTGATCTTGTGAAACTTAAACAAGAAGAGAAAAAATAGGGATGTTCGATAGTACTCAAATCTTTTGTCGATACTACTCAAATAAATACTCCTAAACTATCGATACTTACTCATATCGATACTTTTAGCACATTATTTTTTTTTTATTATTTTAAGGAATCTAACAATGAACATTGAAGGACAATAATTAAAACAATATTAAGAAGGAAAAGAAAACTTTTATTATAAAGGTTTGCGTCACGTTAAGCACGTACTTTAAACAAAAAACTCCATGATAACATTGGAATAATTAGCCGATGATTACTATAAATAAAATTATTCGTAAGCAATCTCTTGTGTTTGACAATTTATGTTGGTTGACAATGAAAAAAAATGAAGGGCGGACGTCTTTCTCGCTTTTGGCTTGGGCTCGGTCGAGTTCGGCTTGGCTGGCGCGAGACAACGCGTCATCATAGATCAGATAGGGACTATGTTTGTCTGATGCGTTCGGTGTTTTTTAAATGGTGAGGTTGATTCGATTTGATACCAAGTACTTTTGTTTCGATACCGAGTAAGTATCGCAAGATTGATTCGATGCTATAAATACTTGGTATCGAATTAAAAGTATCGAGTACCTACTCGTATTTACTGGTATCGGAATATCCCTATGGAAAAATATTGTGGAGACACCTCCGTTCTCTCCCGTTTCCGGATTGGCATGGTTGGTCCGCGGGGAAGTGGGGGAGGTCGTTTTTGTGTTATCTGTCAAAGTCCTATATTGGAAGCTGAGAATAAATGTTGGTAATAGCTATTTTTAGCTTTTTTTTGTTAATTGTTGGTCTGTGACCAAAAGAAAAAATCCTCGACGGACGTCGGTAATAGGCGATTGGCCATAGTAGTCCTGCCCAACTGTTTGTAAATTGCAAAAAGAAGAAGAAATACTGTGGAAATGGAGAACACTACTAAAAAGTATGTTTTCTTTACGGATGCATCTCTTTCTGACACACGAAATGATTCACGGTCTTTATCAGTTAACAAAACTGACAGAAGCCTTGATACAATTATGAGTTATTTATCTATGAGGTTCAGCAATTAAAGGTCGGAAGCGCTATTTTTGTTTGAGAATTTCAGTAAAAACAATTAATTTTGAAGGGTTTAAATACATCATGGAGTGCATGTTCTGTAAGCGAACAGGTGAGAGGACCTTTAACCTCTATTCTCAATATGGGAACGCTCCTAATAGCATTAGAGATGATATGGTCGAACTTTTTGGACTTGAGGTAAACTGAAGACATTTTTTATTAAAACACCTTACTTCTATGTTTTATACATTAGATCGAATCTTATTTGGACGAAATGGAAGATTATGTATGTAATGTATGCATGAATATGCTGGACAACATTACAAAGATGAGACGCTATATGATGAATATCATCAGATCTCCACGAGAGTACAAGTACGCGATGAAATTCGGAAGGTTCTGGGACGCATTCGCATCATACAAATTCAATGAATGTGATTTTGACGCTGAATTAATTACCCCTAGCAGGACACCGACTCCACTTCTCAAGTCTAGGACTCCTAAATCATCCAGTTTAGTTACCCACAGAGTTTCTAGGGAGTATGATGACCCGCTAGACGAAGCTGTTGGCAAAAGCGAACAGCACAGAAGTGAAAGTAGGTTATCTATTTAATGCTATGGGAGGCTATTGTAAAGTTTTAAATTTTTTAGGTCGGTCAAGTTCAAGAAGCTGTGAAAGATCCGACGATGAGGTAAAGAAATATTTTGTGAACACAAAGAAAAAGAAATTGAGAGGTCATAACTGGTCAAGGAGAAGCCGTAGAAGGGACGGGTTATCGTCCTCAGGTTCTACTCACCGGACTCCGAGCCACACCCCAAAGTCCCGACAAATAAGAAGTGCACAAAGTGCAGGCAAGGACTGGACCCCAAAGCCAATAATCCTTGAATATGATATAAACGGAGAGTTATTAAGAAAAAGAACCCGGTCCGTCAATCATTTGGAGAAATTACAAGAGGAAAGGAAGTACCGAGAAAGCAGCAAAGTATATCAATGTGAGGATGACAGCGATTGTTCTGTTTATATGGAGGATCTAAAATTGTTTACTGACCATAGGATTTCTGAACATGGAAAATTGGCATTGTACCCTTGTTTGGAATGCTCAGCAACCTACACTACCCCGTTAGTAGTTCATATTTTGTAGGGATTAAATCAGTTTATGAATTGTTTTAATTTTAGTTCTCATTTAAGAATTCACGAAAAATGTCATGATTTGACACCCCGTTTATGTTTGATGTGTGGCTCCTTAATTGATAATTTCGTGGACCTACAGAAGCACCTGGACGAGCACTTGGAGTATTCAACTCCATGTGCTTATTGCGATTTTTCTTTTACAAGTAAATTAATTTTAGAAAAGCATGTCCAAACGTCCCACTTAGGTAAGAAGCACAGAATTTATCGCCGACCAAAACCTTGCATATTAGAGAAGATCGATAGTGGTATCGCAATAAATGACGAAGGTCTGTCGGACAATGAAGAGAAAAACTATGAGGGTAGGATCTATATTTTGGCATTAAAAAAACAGCATTCTGTAAGTATGAAGAAGGTTGCAAGAAACTCAGAGATGGAAATTGTTGGTGATGTTAGTGAAAGACTAAGTGATGTACTGGATTTAGTGGAAAAAAACAGTGCGGAAGATTTAAACAAATGCAACAACCCCATGTTAAATGATTACTGTCCAGAAAGTGATGGGAATGACGTAGATCAGAACTTTGAGAACAACATGCAACCAGAAGTTATTTCAGATGACTCAACCAGTGAAATTAGCTAAAAAAAAATTGACATATAAAAGTTGTGTGTGCCGCCTCATTTACAAGGTAGGCTGTAAAAAGGGCTGATTGATTTTCCCGTACAAGATGTTGTTTATTGTTTAAAACTCTGAAATTTAAAGTTATAATAATTTTTCCACGATTATAAGAAGCAAACATCCTTTAATGAGGTTAAAATCTGAACATTGTACATAATTTTATTCGACATCTATAACTTTATTATAGCCAATTTGATTTATAAATAAATATTGTTTTTAATTTGCATTTGTAAAGTATTTTAGATGTGAATGTTTATGTAGAAGGCAGCCAGCTACAGCAGGTTTTTACACTTTTCTTGGGTTATGAATTTTCTTATTCTATTTCTCAAGGAAGTAAAATGTTTCACGGTTCACTTTTTCGACCAAAATAGATAATATGAGTATTTTTTGGGTGGGCTTTGCCGCGTCTTTGCGTCTTTACTAAGAGAAATTTAGAACCACTTTAATAGATATAATATTCCCTTTAAATTTGAGCTTAACTAACTTGTTCGATAGTTTACTACGTCGTTGTGTAATAGAAATATACATTTCAATGCGTATAGCTGGTCCATAGTACGCAAAAAACCCAATGCGCTTCCGGCGGCTATGATATTTTAGTAGAGGTGGGAATAATCTTGAGCGCTAGATTATTCCCACCTCGCTAACCTGCATTTTGCTCCATTTGCTTCCGAACATACATACACTTAATTCCTTTTTCTCCGAACATTTAACGAGATTTTGAGAATATACAGCCCCAAAGCGTGTTCTACGCTGAAACATGTTGAAAGCCGCTCGTCTTATTGGTTGAAAATGAAATTTCAGATGACCGCGCCATTACTATTTTTTATTTCAACGTTGCTTCAAAAATCAGCAAATCAACCAGCATATCGATAAAATGCATATAGCAATCAAATAAATTAAGGGTGGTTAATACCGTAAAATTGACGTGTCTCAGGCGGCTATGACATTTACGTAAAGAAGGAAAGATTTTCCACGTATGCGTGTAAATTTTACGCACGTTAATCAATCTTTTTCAAACGCACAACTCATTTCTTGAAAATCTAGTGGTTTGTGAGCATAGTTCGAATAAATATTTAGCGGCCATATTAATTGTTGACCGTCGCAGGGCATAATAATAATTTTTCAATGCCGCGGATATGATTGAATGTTATGGTGGAGTATCGAAATGACTCGCGCATGCGCAAGATATTGCTAAACGATCAACGTGGGGACTTGTAGTTCCTCAATGTGACAGTTTTTAATTTGAACGCGTAATTTTTTCGGCAGTATTTTGTCGAAATATACAAAAGTTTCAGGAAAAAAAAAGAATCCAATGCGTGAAGATTACTAACTGGCGCAGAGTGCAGGTTGGTGAAATTTATCGGCATGCGCAGAAGATTATACCCTTCCTTGAAAAGTGCGTCAATTTTATGTGGACAGTTAGGGGAATAAAACAAATAAACGTCAACTAGTTTTTTATAATCCACATTTAAGAGTAGAAGATTGCAATAATTGACTTAAGCCAATACCCATATTCTTGAAATAATTTTGCTCTAGTAAAGACAGAATAAACAAAAAACTATAATACCGTTTTAACAAAAACCTGCAATAATGTAGCAACTTCGTAATTCCTCAAAAAATGATAGTAAATTTGGTCACTCTCCTACACATCCACAATTGGAAAAAATCTACATTTAACAATTATTTTGTGCTAGATTGAAGCGTCCATTAAGTAATATCTCGATCAAGTTTCATCTAAATATATACTATTTACACTACTCGATGTTCGTGTTTCAGTACAATACTCTAGTTTGACAGACCTGTCTTTCAAGTTTGATTTAGTTTTGATGAATTTTCACATCAAATCATATCAATCCGTCATTTCCAAATTTCTTACTCATTTACAGCATAAAAAGTGAACAAAACAGTAAGCTGCGAAAATATTGTTTTTTTTTTAAATACACACTTTGAAAAAAAAAAATCTCGCAAGTGTATTAAAAAATCTTTTCATAATTTTCGTCTTTGAAAATACAGTTTTTATTTTTCTGATTATTTTTTTTTTTAAACCGGCTTTATGTTGTAATGTCTCTATCTCTTTATAAAATGAAACACGTAATTTATAAAATGTAGCATTAAGTGTTGACTACTATTAAAACTGCTTAAATTTAAAAAACTTTTAATTAGTAGTTTTTAGGTACAATTAAACTGATTTCTCTTACTATATTAATGATAATGAAAATCTATAAGAAATTTGGAAACAACCCAAATGTACAGCAACTTCACTCCAATGCTACTCTAAGTTTTGTGTCTTAAGAGGAATGATATCCACTTCTATATATTACAGGAGATACATAATAAATCACATTGGTAGTGTTTAACTAAATCCAAGTTTTTAAGTACCAAGCTTAATAAAAGAACAACAGTCGCTCTTGATGGCTGGCAGACAGCATGTGCCAGCCTCTTTTGATACTCAAGTACTGTAGAATTGCTCGTATACATATTATAAGACCTGGAAAAAGATGTTAATAAAATATTCTAATTTATTTTCATTCTAATTACCAAACGTCATTATCAGCCACCACAGCCAACTGTTATCTTTGGACGCTAATTCTGTCGAATGCTGGACTATAAATGTCCACTTGGCAAGGGACAAACCAAATCCAGACAGGGCGCCATATCTGGACGCGATGGTGTGGCAAAAGCACATTAGTAGCAAAAACCCTATCCAGTTAAAAATAAAAGCAACTGAAAGAAATCAGTATAACATTTGTGATGGTTTTTGTAATAAACTCACCAAAAAATGCAATATAAAACATAAAATCAGTGCCCAACAAGGTGGTGTCGACTTCTTCTCCCGTTTCATTATCCAAGGTTAAAATCCTTTGACAAGGAGGTCGAAATTGAGATGTCTAAATAAAGGTAAATATTAAAGCAAAATTTAGCTTGTTGTACAACTTACAATAGTCGGAGTATTTATGGGTACAGACAATCCTTCTTCTAGTTTTTCCCTCTGGACTTCTTCGTATGTCGGTAATTTGGTGGTTTTGGTGACCTCTTCATAGGGAGGAGGTGCATAATAGTCTGCTTTTGGGGGAGGAATTTCATCCAATGACGAGCTGGCTAGGACATTTGTAGCCCCATTATCTCGTGCAAGACTGGGCGATGTCACCACAGTAGGACTTACTGTTTGCGTTGTGTGCTAAAATCACCAAATATCGGTAAATAACATGCCAAGTATGTAATTGTTTACCACTTCGGCTGGTTCTTGAGATGCTGATTCTTGATCTGACACTGAACGCTCCATTGTCGGTACTAGGCACAATGTTTTATAGACAAAATTATATCATATTTCTTAATGTAACTTTTGCTAATGCAACAATAGATTGATTAACGGAGAATGTCATGAAAAAATCAATCTGTCATACGCGAGTTGAGTTCGTTTCGCTGAAGTGCTGCATTTCCGAATTCGTGAAAAAGAGAGAAAAGAAATAGCTACTAACGCGTTAGACAAGGATCGTGCACCCAAGTCAGGCGGGTAAGCAAGATTGCGTTTTTTTTTAACAAATCAATTTTAACAAAACATCCAGCGATGTCTTTAGAGATCAACACACGAAATTCTTTACGATTTTCATTTATCGTTTTGGTACACCATAGACTTGAGCGAGATAGTACAGAGTTCAGAAATCTACAGTACAGCTGTTTTTAAGTCGTTTAGGTACCGCAAGAGGACGTGCTTTTAAGGCCCTGTTGCCAAGATATAGAACATACATTTTTTTTAGATTTCAACTCTTTCCCTCTGGCGCTAAATCGTCTTGAAATTTAGATAATGTTGTAAAATAATACAATTTTCAAATGATGTTCTAAAAGGTATTGTATTCGGCTAGGCAAATAATATTTATGTTATACATTTTTTAAGATGGCTAGATTAAAAAGTAAATTTTCTAATTTATTTATTTTTTGATATTTTTATTTTAATAATCAGTTTGGAAATTATTGTGATGGCGTTAAAGTCAAAACGGCTTGGTTAAATTCTGTCGGTAAGCTTCAGGAGTCTTATTCATCGGTAAAATTACCTGTGGCAACGCTGGTAACCAAGAGAAAGGAGCATTGCAATGTCAACATAGTCAACAGTTGACGTGCAATGTTGTCGTGATGTGCAGACGTAGCTTGTGGTGCCGTTGCGAAGAAGCGTGTGTGTAGTGCGCCAAACTTGGTCGAAATACAAATATTGAGACTTCAGAAAAAACACATTTTTCCGGATATCCATGCCTTTCGGCTTTTAACGGGCGTGGAATATCGGAATTTGTCGTAATTTTCCTCTAAAATTGAATTAAAAGCGGTTTGAAAACTTGTTTGGTGCGTGTTTCCACACGGATTCTTCCTTGGGATGATCAAAAATATACCGAGGAATTGCTCTCAAGGTTTGTAAAATTTGTAATTTGACTTTTACTGGGAATTAAGCAGTTGCCATTTCGTTGGTTGATTCACTGATATTTCGAAGTTCGAAGCTCCAGCTTGTGTACCGTTATGTTGTCTTCTTGGAATTTAGGAACAACTAATTTTTGAGATCACTTGTAAAATCCACATAACAATTTGCAATTTTAATATGAAGTGTTTTTGTTTATTTAAACGAGTCACTGCAACTGTTTCGTCACTGACATATCTCCTTACAAAAATTTTGTTTCAATATTTCGAGAATTAATGACCGTGTGGCAAACTAAAAGCAAACTCGTACTGTTTAAGCATAGGTATACCTTATTTTAAGGTCTAAGTAATATGGCAGGTACTGGTACTGGTCTCCCATTTCTTATCCCGCTATAGAGCAACAGGTGATACAATATATCTAAACAAAATGTCATCAATAAATATGGTGGATAGGTTTAATCGTTAAATATATGTAACTTGTGATGTTCCCAAAAATTTTAATAGTTTTGGTAAATTTAGTTTGTGTACTTATGTTTATTTACATTGATAGGGTGTAAGGGCTAATACGGAAAATATAGGGTTTTTTACTCCATCCATTCATTAAAAATTTTGGGGTTAAGTTAAGTGGCAAAATGCTTCTTTTTAAAATTATTTTCAACGTCCTGTCAGTTCCTCTTCAATACCGGAAGTTGCTGTCAACGTGCTTGTTGGCTTGTTTGATAACAGAACACAATAAAGTTGGTTAAGCCGGCAGTACAATTTTTTTTAGGTCAAATATTTCAAAATCTGTTAGATACAGGTATAGGGAATTAAACACAAAATATGTTTAGAATTTCACACCAAACCTCAAAATGTAGTACTATAATGGTTTGGGCGAAAAATCCTGTGTATTAAAGTATTATCTGATATTAGCTATAGTTTTTTGAATGTATTTGTAGTTTTTCTAGATGATTAAAAACAATGACAAACATTAACAGTTAAACTCATACTATTTCTTAATAACAAGAAAAAATTAACTTACCAGAAAATATTAAAGTGCCTAATAATGTTTTCGATTTATTTCAATTATTGTCTTTTGTTTCCACTACTGCCGCATTTAATATAAATAACAAAAATCTCTTGAGAAGATAATTATACCGTTTTGTTGAAAAGGCTACTTATGTTTGAACCGTGATAAAGACGGATACGCATATATATTTTTGCATTTTTTTTATGATAATATTTAATATATTTTTTGAACGGTGTTTAATAGCTAATATTCAAAGCTATGCTATCTTTCTCAATGCGAGAGAGTTATACACTATTAGTGTAAAACCGTAAAACTTAGCGGTCTTAGGACAGGTAGTGGGCCTACCTGTGTGCGTTAGCGATTAATATTAGAATTGAAACTAGCCACCATGGTAAAAATTGCCACAGTATTTCGTAAATCATTGATTACTACACGATTTCGCATGATTGGTTAAGTTTGGAATTTTAAAAACGTTGCATTTTTAGGTGGATGTGCCTATAGTTGGAATTTTTGCACAAGAATTTCTCTATATCCCATTTCGACGCGTTTTTGTAAATATATTTTTTTTAAATTGTGTAATTGTTAACCTATACTTTGGCAAACTGCATTGTTTCCTGAATTTTCATCAGAGGAGAGAGAAATAGGGAGAAAAAGGAAAGTTTACAATATAATTTTAACTGTTGTTGACCTTATACGTCATCAGAAGGGCTGGGGCAAGGTCTAGAGACCCATTGTAATGAACATATTTAAATATGTGAGCAAAATTTGCGTTTGCTTAGTGTGCCAAAAGAAAACAATTGGGAATTTCAGAAATCATTAAAAGCGGTACTTATGAAGAAGTTTATGTTCAGAAGGAAAAAATCAAAACTCAAAATCTGCTAAAAATTTTAAAAACCACTACTTTGTTTTTTAGTTTTAACGCTTGAGCAATTCATTAAAATTACGAAAAAAAAATCTATTTATTTTAATTGAGCGATGGATGAAAGTTGCAAGAGAAAATGCACTATTTGTTTTACCACCATATTTAAAATAAATTATGTGAACTAAAAAACATCTGTAAATATGTGAACAGTAACACCAATATGTGACTAGTCAGAACATGATGACTAAAATTTACCTATGCAGGTAATGAAATTTATGGCAATTTATCTATTTTCATCTTATCCTTACTTCTATATTATTTTTTATTTTCTCCCGTCTCTATACTTATAATAATATTTTGTAATAAGTTTTGGTTTAATAATGAAAACAATTTATCAATTTTTATATTATTCTTACTTCTATATATATTTTTCTACTTGATCGTAGAATACTTAATATCTCAATTATCTTCCCATCTCAATACTTATAATAAAAGCTATTTTTTTTTAATCATAAAATTCATTACAATTTATTATTATTTATTATTATTATTATACTTTGCTTTTAGTAATAGGGAAGAGGAAAATGTGATAAGAAATAAATGTAAAAAAAATAGGCCAAAAATATTACACATTTTTCCAGTCCTATTTTAATAATTTCCTAGATGAAGATTTAATAATTTTAACATCGAGTGCTTTTAAAAGACTTCTTAAAAAAGGTATTGTATCTGTAAGGCTCGAAGCAATAAACTTAATAAATATAAATGCATAAAAAATACGAAGTAAATGAAATATGCGAAAAAATGTACATATACAAGAACAAATAACGAAAAAAAGCTTGTCTGTCGAAAATAAAATGTGTGTGTGTGTTTAAAATTTTTATATTATCTAAGTTAGACTTTCTATTTTATATAAATTATCCCGCACAACTTACGGGTTTTCGGAAGAATTTTCATTTGTTTATTTTGTTAATATACAAAATGTGATGTATTATTTTTAATTTAAATTTGTCGTTGTTTATAGAATAAACATATTATTATTATTCCTTTATCAATAATCAAAAATACATACGAATGTTATTATATTTTATGTAAAAATATTTGCATACCTTAGTGATATTTTCAATGAATTAGTAAATAAGTACGAATATATAAAACGTACATGAATATTTTAACTTCGTTATTTTTGTTTATTATTTATTGCTAAGAGTTTATTTAGTTGTTGGTTTATTTTCAACACTATTATTATAAGAATCTAGATTTGATTTTTAATTTGAATTATTCTATTAAATTCTGATGACTAATTTGTTTCGATCATAAACAGCATTTATTTCTTTTTTAATATTAATCATTTCTTTTATTGCCAATTTTTCATGAACTATAATCTTATGTTAATATTTTAATTTTTCCAAAATTAATGGTTTTGCTAAATTTCGTTGAGTTCGTTGTCTGTTTTGCTTTTCTGTTGAGATTAATCGTCACTTCTTACTTATTTTTTTATTAAAAATTTGTATCGCTTTTTACAAAATCTTTCTCTAAAAATAATTCATCACGCGTTGCCGATATTTTGAATCTCGTAGGATATAATGCACACACGTGTTTTTTCCTCGGCTGAAAGAACATGGCCACTAACTTGGTCGGTTGGGTTCTTTGCTCCGGTTAGACAACGTCTCTTTTCTATTCTACTTGCTTAATTAGCGAGCCGTATCTTTAGTCACTTTTTGCGAATTTCAATTCGTCTTATTTCCTGTATTTCTACGCTCCGAAATGAATCCGAAATGCTTGTTTAAAATCGCTCGACTGTTAAAATATAGCACTTAATTGTTTCCCTTTTTTTGCGAGTTAATTAAAAGTTTTGGCTAGATAATTAAGTGTACTCGGTTTTGATGATTAATTAGTATGATTTCAAATGACGATTTTTCTACGCACCGGGGGGTAGATTCACGATGATTGTTCTATTAGAGTTTGGTGTGTGGACATAATGGGTTATGAAATATAGAGGATGTCCCGAAATTAGTGTGGCAAAGTATAGCAGATCTTTTTTAACCCTTTTTAAGGCACGTTAATGCACCACCTGAACGTTACAGTTCGTAAAATAT